ACAGCGGGTCCCGCAGCGCTTCCCGGGCTCTGCCGCTCCCGTTCCTTTCCCACACCGCAGCAGCTGTGGAAACGGAGCCAAAGGCAGGTGTTGCACTGAAGCTATCCCTGAGTTTTATTTAAGGGAATCTTGGCTGTTGCTTAGTTTAGCGTTTTGTGCATGTTTTAGAAGCGTATTTTTCTGTTACTGTTTTGCTTTCGTGTTTGGTATAGAAACGTTTAGTAATCCTTACTGTCTCAAATAAGGGCTCAATATAGATTGGAATATGGTAACTTAAAGGCTTGATCCTATAGGACAAGAACGTATATGACAAGGGGGAATGGCTTTAACCTGACAGAAGGGAGATTGAGATGAGCTCTGAGGCAGAAGCTCTTCCCTGTGAGGGTGCTGAGGCGCTGGCACAGGGTGCCCAGAGAAGCTGGGGCTGCCCCATCCCTGGCAGTGTTCAAGGCCAGGTTGGACACAGGGACTTGGAGCAACCTGCTCTAGTGGAAGGTGTCCCTGCCCGGGGCAGGGGTTGGAGCGGGAGGAGCTTTAAGGTCCCTTCAACCCAAACCATTCGTGATTCTATTATACGTCCAACCCTCTAATGTATTAAACTGCTAACTCTGCCATTAGCCCCTTTGTTCATCTGTTTAAAACGCTTCAAAGTTTTAAGTACCGAATTGTACAGCTCTGACTTGCTTTGACCTTTGCTCTGCTTTTACCAAGGTCTTTTCAGCTGTAATAAATATTCCCCTTAAAAGCTATTGTTCGAATTAGAGGATGCTGTTTGCAAACATAGCAGCCGGTCTGCAGCAGCCTTCGGACGGTCAAGTAAATGTCACTGTCCTCCTTCAATGGCTAAAAACAGACGCCAGCTCCTCAGGGGTGGTGGTGGACTGCTGTCGGTTTGACTGACAGGCGACTGTGTTAGTGCAGCAGCGTGTTTGAGTTGGTTCTCCTTGGGTGACATGCACCAGGCTGGGAGCTCGTACTCGCTCCGCTGCTGCTCGTGAGATTTCCTTATTGTACACCCGTTCTCCTGTGTCAGAGCCGTTTGTCAGGGTGGTTGCTTGAGTCAGGCTTTTACCCTGAGAGAACATGGAAAATAACCCTGTAGTTTGTTGCTATCTACAAATTGCATCTCCTTTAATAAAAATACTATTATTTAAAAGTCACATTTAATCCCTTAAATCCCTCTGGCTTTTCTCTGAATGTATGCTGTGTGGATTCTCAAAATCCCGTGGATGTACGAGGTGAGGCTTCTACTTCTTTCTTGATTCTCTAGAAGAGTTGTAGGAGTTCAGTGTCCTGTGGATGAAAACTGCTGCTTTCAAATTTATATTGTTTAGGGTCTTCCAGGAAGAAGCCACTTTATTCCAACTAACACAGTCTCCAGTTGCCAGGAATGTTACATGTGAACATTCAGTGTTATGTTAATTGTTTGGAAGTTACCCCTCTCCAAAATTCCACTTGTTTTCTTCCTTTAACAAGATCACACTGGAAATCAACTTGTAGCCTCATTGGTTTTGCTTGTGACTCTTTAGCTGAGACTTTCTAATCTATTTTCAGAAGAGCTGCCTTTAACTGTCAGGTATTTTTAGGTTTCTTTGTACTAACTTTGCTTATCTTTTGAAGTTGTTCTGCCTTGAGAGGCAGTGCTGCCTTCTGCTGTCACGCCTCTGCATTGTTTATTAAACGCAGCAGATTCCTTGGCACCTGATACTTGAACAAAAGTACAATCTAGTTTTGGATCGCAAGCTTACAGCAGCACTTAAGTGTGATTGTTCCTCTGGTTTCCCTATGAACCCGAGGACAAGAGCCTAAATGACACATCCAGGACCACCCAGCAAATTGATGGGAATTGTTAGGAGTGTATCCATGTCAGCCTCATTGATCCTTGCTTTTCAGTTAAACACTACTTGCATCCTTCTAGTTGGAGCAAAGCTTATCCCCAGTAAAATCTTCCTTTATTTTGGACTCATTTTGTGTATAACTGCAGCCATTTTGGAATGCTTATTCCCTCAAGATTGGTTACACATACCCTGGTTAAATGATGCATGCCAGAGTCGAGAAACTGCCCAGGTTACTGATATGGAGAGTATGAAATGCTCAGGCAGGTTTCTACTCAGAAGCATTACGTTTCCACAGAGAAGACTGATTAAAAGCCTGGTTTACAAATAGTTTTGGTTTAGATCTGCACATCCTGATTTGCCACTGTGTGTTAGCTTCAGAAACAGTTCTAGGTTCTAGTGATTGCAAACTGGTATTGGAGCTAAGCTCCTGCGAGTAAACCAAGCATTGGCTTTGTGCAGGTTTCCATGGATGCTATCATCCAGTGCCATATGCCCAAGAGGAAATCTATAAAGCTTATAACCTTGCATTTAGTACAGTTTTCCAGTCTTCAGGGCCACCAGTTAATATCAGTGCCCCAAACTGTTAAAAGTAAAAGAAAGAAATTGTAGTTTGTGGGGTATGTGTAATCCATGAAAGAATGGAGGATTCCTTCCATGCTAGTGGAGGCATCGGGTACTTCCCACGTGTTATAGCCCAGATATTGAGAGATGATTATTTTTCCCCTTCTGTCTGGTTTTATTTCTTAATCCAGCTTATCTGAATGCTGGAAATACTTTGCAGATTGGATCCAGTACAAGTACTAGCTCATCCACACCACCAGCAGCAGTATCAAGAGCTCCAGTATAGACAGGCTGTTGGCAGGTTATTTTTGTTTGAACTATTAAGCTGACCTGTTTGTTAGCATCATTTTGTCACCAGGGCACTATCATGCAGTAGTATGACAATGTCATGATACTGGAGTCACAAACATAGGGAAGTTGTTAAATCGCAACAGTCATCAAACTGTAAGACTCAAACACCTCCTCCCTCCACCACGTAACAGCTTTGTGGAAATACTTGAGCCTAAACTAGGGGTCTGAATTGCATGTTGTGGTTGGCTTCCTTACGTTTAGGATTTAGAAGAAGCTATTTACCAGACAGCACAGTTTTCTTTTAAATACCTCTAACAATACAAGCTGGCTGGGCTGTTGTCTAGGTGGTGATACATGCTTCAAGTATTGAGCATCATCAGAGAACTGACAACTCTCACCTTTGAGATATAGCCAGTATGGCCTTCTGAAGACAGCTTGAGTCATCTTTTGTAAAGACTGACTGCACTGATAAATATTTATGAAACTCATTTCCATACTAACAGTTGATGGTAGGACTTGAGCTCTGCTGCTGTCAGTGCTGTACAGGTGCTCAAGATAGCTTAGTCCTGGTCTCGTAAAGGTTACTCTGGTTATAAGTACTAAACCAGCCTCTCTTCTATGGAAGCTTTTTTTGCTGTATTTAACTGTATTGCTGTTAGAATAACATGGAACAGTGGCATTTTGTAACCTGCAAGAAAAGTGTTACAGGCCCAGTTTCATGGCTTCTGCTGCCACTCTACTTTTTGTATTGCTCTTGTACTTATAGATAGAACTGTGCACTGAAGAATCTTTCCCCATATAAAAGGTTTCTTCTATTCCAGCCATGAAAGCAATGTCTTGTTGCTCCTTTGAACATCCCTGTCTCGGGTAGCGTGGAGTACTTGGGGCTCTCATTGTTCTGCCTTACACCAGCTGTGAGTTGAAGATGTAAAGGTGATACTGAGCTGCTCTTTCTTCTCCCTGCTGTGCTGTCTTATCTGACCTCATACTTACTGAATAGATTTACTCTTGAGTAACACTGTGTAGAGAGACTACCTTCTCAAGATGCATTTACTCTGATTATGTGGGTATTGTCTTCTCATGCTTAGTAGCAAGATAAAATTAAATCCTGTATTTGTATTCAATTTTCAGTGACTGATTCTGGCTCATACAGAGTCTGAGTTGTTTATAACCCATAATGAATGGTGCAGGCACTGTGAGAGCCTGGCTCTGCGCCTCTGCCTCTGGGAATGAATAGTGCTGTCAAGAAAGTGGAGACCGACCAACCAGCTCGGGAGCTGAGGAGACAGTGCAGTGACACCAGTCTGGTTCTTGACTTTGGTCTCTGGTCCCACACACAGACACAAGCAATGGGGTAGAAGATGGCTTTTGTTACTGAAAAAAACCTTGTGATGAGAACCTCAGGACTTGGAGAAACTACTATTGTGTGCATGGGGTTTTTTTCCCCTAAGAGGAAGTCACTTGCACGTATAACTATATGGAGTAGCTAGATGTAGTCAAGACTTACCCTAGCTGCAGCAAGTGAAGGTAATAAAATATTTCTGCAGATTGAAATATTTCAGTGCTCACCGTATGCAATTTTACCTTGGTGTGTGTTGGTGCAGCAAGGTGAAGGTGGTGTAGCACTGATACATTTCTCCAGGTAAGATTCACATCCTCCTCTCACTGTGTAGACCCTTACAAAATGCAACTGTGATGTTGCATCAACGCAGCTTTCTTTTAAGCCGTTCCTGACACGGTAGGCTGTATAAAAATCATCTTGTCCTCTTAATTTCTTATTTAGGAATGGTAGTTGTGGCCGGGGAAGAGGAGGTGAGAACAGTTTTGCAAGGGTATACAGATAACTCTAAACTTGTTATTTGTAAGAGGTGGTTAGTGTCTTTAAGACACATGTTTAAAGCTGTCATTGACCCCCTTACTAAAGCTTGTTTGCTTGAGGTTTCTAACTGTATAAGCAGTAGACATAATAAGAATGTGATCCCACCAAAAGCCAGTGTTCCTCAAAGTATTCCATTAAATAGGTCATTATGACATTGTCTATATTTAAAGCTGGTCACTTTTAATGAGATGGGTTTCTTGCTCTGTGATTCTTGTCTTAGTCTGTCAGATGCCAAGGATAGGAGAGCACTTGTAATTGGAGCTTTAGGCTGGTCAGATAGCATCTTGTGGGGTACAGGACGCACATCTACAGCCATTCCATCACAGGGCCATCAGTAGTTGTTGACTGCAGCCCCCTGGTTACAGAATGTGGAGAATTGGCCACACGTGTTCTTCGGAGCTGTGACCAGCAGTGAGGAGTTTGGATTAGCCGTGGCTCTGCCTGATTTGCAGTGCTCTGTTCATGGCGTGCTGGACTCGCAGCTGTACGCTAACGCTAGTATTTGATACCCTGAGAGACAGCGAGGCAGTCACAGCACAGCTTCC